GACTCCTCGTAAATAACATGCTGTAGACGTGCTAATAACATGCTAACTTGTCCGCAGATAGATTTAAAGTTTGGGGAGCATAAATTCCTCTTCTTGCAATTCACCTCCTTAATGATCTGTCAGTTCAATCGCTTTGTCTGTGTGACAGCCTATTCTAAGGACCAGCGATCTTTTCAATTATATATTTATTTTTTAAACAGGTTTTACCTTTAAAAACCCTGCGTATAACTTTCTCTCTCTCTCTTTTTTTTTTTTAATAAAAAAATGGTAACTGGTAGGGCTTACAGGTAATCCTCGACTTATGACCACAATTGAGCCCAACATTACTGTTACTAAGTGAGAAATTTGCTAAGTGAGTTTCCGCCCGTTTTACGACTTTTCCTGCCACTGTTGCTAAGTGAATCACTGCAGTTGTTAAGTGAGTAACACAACTGTTAAGTGTATCCGGCTTCCCCCGTTGACTTTGCTTGTCACAAGGTCGCAAAAGGGGATCATGTGACCCCAGGGACACTGCAACCGTCATAAATAGGAGTCAGCTGCCAAGCGTCTGAATTTGGATCATGGGATCACAGGGATACTGCAATGGTCATAAGAGTGAAAAACGGCCATAAGTCACTTTTTTTCAGTGACATTGTAACTCTGAGCGGTCACTAATGGATGGTTGTAAGTCGAGGACTACCTATGTTGCTTTTCCAACCAGTTTTAAGATGCTTCGGGGAAGCAAATATGCCAAAAAGAGGCAAACTAGTCCATGAATAAATCGTTTGATTTATTGAATGTTGATGAGCTTTGAATGATTCAAAGCAGATCTTACTTTTTTTTATAACTCAGTAGGCCATATCAAGTTTCAAAGTACAGACAGGCTAAGAGGAAACAAAGCACACGTAAACAAAAAAAAAGAAAAGAAAAATTTAAATTTGAGAAAATATAATTAAAAATTGAAACATTCATGCCCCCGGAAAACTCCATCCTAGGCCATATTTAAAAAGATTTTCTGGGGAGGAAGGGAAGGGAAGGGAAGGAGGGAGGGAGGTTGGGTGGGAGGGAGGAAGCAAGGAAGAAGGAAGGAAGGAAGGAAGGAAGGAAGGAAGGAAGGAAGGAAGGAATCCAGTCACCATGTATGGATTTCAACTCCCAGAATTCCCAAGCTGGCATGCTTTCAGGTGATTGGACTTCAGTTCCCAGAATCCTCCAGGCACCATGCATGGACTTCAACTCCCAGAATTCCCAAGCCAACATGCTTCCAGATGATTGGACTTCAGTTCCCAGAATCCTCCAGCCACCATACATGGACTTCAACTCCCAGAATTCCCAGGCCGGCATATTTTAAGATAGGGGGCTTCAACTCCCAGAATTCCCAATGAGCATGCTGTAAGATACGTTTAAAAGAATGAAAGAGGAAAAAGCTGTAGAAAGCCAGTCAATAAAAGAAAAAAAACCACACCAGATAATTAAACATGAATCAGAAAAATTAAGCTTTTTGATTTTCTTTTCAACATTAACAAACCCATTTTCTTTCTCCGCCATTTTCAGCATTATAGACTTCCCTTCCACCCCTTAGTCAGTCCTTTTTCAATCCAAAAATCACCCCTTCGCTTTCTTCCACTTTCACAAAAAACTCTGTAAAGAACAGGTGGTCCTCGACTTACAACAGTCCATTTAGTGACCGTTCAAGAGTTACAACGGCGGAGTTGGTCACGTGATCAAAATTCAGACGCTTGGCAACTGACTCGTATTTATGACGGTTGCAGTGTCCCGGGGTCACATGATCCACTTTTGCGAACTTCTGGTGAGCAAAGTCAAATCAGAAAGCTGGATTCACTTAACAATCGTGTTTCTAATTTAACAAATGCAATAATTCACTTAACAACTGCGGGAAGGGAAGGGAAGGGAAGGGAAGGGAAGGGAAGGGAGTAAATAGATGAAGAAGGGAAGGGAAGGAAGAAGAAGGGAGTAAATAGATGAAGAAGGGAAGGGAAGGAAGAAGAAGGGAAGAGAGTAAATAGATGAAGAAGGGAAGGAAGGATAGGGAAAGGAAGGAAGAAAGGAAAGGAAAGGAAAGGAAAGGAAAGGAAAGGAAAGGAAAGGAAAGGAAAGGAAAGGAAAGAAAGGAAAGGAAAGGAAGAAGAGAAGAGAAGAGAGTAAATAGATGAAGAAGGGAAGGGAAGGAAAGGAAGAAGGGAAGGGAGTAAATAGATGAAGAAGGGAAGGGAAGGAAGGAAGAAGAAGAAGGGAAGAGAGTAAATAGATGAAGAAGGAAAGGGAAGGATAGGGAAAGGAAAGGAAAGGAAAGAAAAGAAAGAGAGGAAGGAAGGAAGGAAGGAAGGAAGGAAGGAAGGAAGGAAGGAAGGATATAAGAAAGGGAAGGGAAGGAGGGAGGAAGAATATAAGAGGGAAGGGAAGGAGAGAGGAAGGAAGGAAGAATATAAGAAAGGGAAGGGAAGGTGGGAGGGAGGAAAGGAGGGAGGAAGGAAGGAAGAAGGAAGGAAGGATATAAGAAAGGGAAGGGAAGGAGGGAGGGAGGGAGGAAGAATATAAGAGGGAAGGGAAGGAGGGAGGAAGGAAGGAAGGAAGAATAAAAGAAAGGGAAGGGAAGGGAAGGGAAGAAGGAAGGAAGGAAGGAAGGACATAAAAAAGGGAGGGGAAGGGAAGGGAAGGGAAGGGAAGCGAAGGAGGGAGGAAGGAAGGAAGGAAGGAGGAGGAAGAAAGAAGGAGGCAGGAAGAAGAAGGAAGAAAAGGAAAAGGGAAAGAGGAGGAGGAAGAGGAAGAGAGAAGCTGAAGGAAGGAGAAGAAAGCGAAGGAGAAAGAGAATGAGGAGGAGAGAAGGGAGAAGAAGAAGGAGGGAAAAGGAGAAGGAGGAGAAAAGACTGAATTGATCAGTACTAACAATACTTTTGATTTTTCTCCTCTTCCTCCTCCCCATCTTTTCTCACCCGCCACCCCTCCCTCCTACATAACCACAAAGCCTGAGGCAACAACCACAACATTTGGCCGAGGGGCAGCAGCTTTCCTTTATCACACGCCCCCCCCCCCAACTCTTTGTACTGACCCAATTCCGTGGGATCTCAAGAATCCCCACCCCCGTTGACAGCCCATGGAGGGGTGTGTGTGTGTGGGGGGGGGGGGGGAAAGGGGGCCACACCTCAAGCACACCTTGAAACAATGTTCCCCCTCAGCTCGGCCCCTCCCACGGTTTTTGCATGCAATGCACGTGGCACCCCCGCCTGTCCCCTCAAATGGCCATCAGTGGGACGCAGCCCACCCCCACCCCTCCCTCGTGGCACACCATGGGCGCCACGAACGTCCAGCGATTGCTTTCCGGGTCGTACATTTCTACCGAGCTGAGGTTGGACTGTCCGTCGTAGCCGCCCACGGCGTACAAGCGGCCGCCGGTGGTGACCAGGGAGACGCGGCTACGCCGGGTGTTCATGGGCACCAGAAGGTACCACTGATCGGAGGCCGAATTGTAGACCTCGGCGACACTGAGGAAGGCTGAGCCGTCGTAGCCGCCGCAGACGAAGAGTTTGCTGCCCAGGGAGGCCGCCCCGTGCCGACAACGCTTGTTCGACATGCTGGCCACGCTGTGCCACGAGGCGGTGTGGGGGTTGTAGTATTCCACCTGGAGGCAGGGACAAAACCACGCGTCAGCAGATGGGCAGATGGACGGGGCAGAGGTCAGGGAGGGGATCGACTTCCAGAAAGGACACGCGGCTATTTGGAGAGGCAACAAGGCCTCAGAGGCAGATTTGAAAGAGAAAGAGAGAGAAAGAGAGAGATCGAATTCTTCAGGCATTTATACCCTGACTTTGTTATTAATAAATAATTGGGAATGGCGAGCATCTTATAATTTATGGAGCCTTTTGTCTCCTATTTTCCCTAAAACAACAACCCTGCGAGTTGACGGGCTGTCTCAGCCCAACCCAGCTAGCTTACGTGTCAAAGGTATTCCCAGTCGCCAGGTAATTGGCCCAACTGGATTTCGTGGCTAACGTAGGACTAGAATTCACTTTCTCCTGGGGATTGGCCTGAAGTCACCCAGTGGCTTTTATGCCTAAAGTGGGATTAGAACTCACCGTCTCCCGTGACTGGCCCAAAGTCACCCAGCCGGCTTTCATACCTAAAACAGGACTAGAACTCACCGTCTCCTGCTGATTGGCCCAAAGTCACTCAGCGGCTTTCGCGCCTAAGGCGAGACTAGAAATCCCCCGTTTATAACTAACCCCTAAATAAACAGTAAATAACAAAATAATAAGTTACACTGCTTGAAAAAAAATAATAATAAGTTAACAGCTTCAGAGTTCTGCTCCAGTTCTTCCTTTGGAGAAATGCTGGTTTTTAACCGAATAACTGAATCGGAAGGGACCTTGGAGGACATCTAGTCCAACCCCCTGCTCAGGAGGAGACCTTGTCCCATGTCAGACGAACGGATGTCAAATCTCTTCCTAAAAATCTCCAATGTTGGCGCATTCACAACTTCTGGAGGCACTGGTTATTAGGGACGGGCCAGAAATAAACTACAGTCCAAAAAAAACCAGACTTACGCTATTGAAGATTTGCAAGCCATCATGTCCGCCGGAGACGAAGATGCGGCCTTCGAAGACCGTGACGCCGGCCGCGCTGCGATTGGAGCTCATAGGGGAGGAAGGAAGGAAGGAAGAATATAAGAAAGGGAAGGGAAGGTGGGTGGGAGGGAGGGAGGGAGGGAGGAAGGAAGAAGGAAGGAAGGATATAAGAAAGGGAAGGGAAGGAGGGAGGAAGGAAGGATATAAGAAAGGGAAGGGAAGGAGGGAGGGAGGGAGGAAGGGATATAAGAAAGGGAAGGGAAGGAGGGAGGGAGGGAGGAAGAATATAAGAAAGGGAAGGGAAGGTGGGAGGGAGGAAGGAAGGAAGAAGGAAGGAAGGATATAAGAAAGGGAAGGGAAGGAAGGAGGAAGGAAGGATATAAGAAAGGGAAGGGAAGGGGAGGTAGAGAGATCACCATTCTACAACCATGGACTTACCCTGTCCGTTTGGTGATGGTTCCTAGAGTCATGGGTTGCTTGATCTGGGCAAGAGGTGCCATCACAGTGAGGCTTGGAAGTGGGGACAGACGAGGGTTTCCCGGATTGTTGTTGGTAAAATTGTTATAAGAATCTTGACTGTTCAGTTTACCTTGTGGGAGAGAGAAGGAGAATTGATTCGGATATATTTATTATATAATAATACCGGTATAATGATGATAACATTATAGATGTAATGGATAATATTCATTTAGTTATATTTATAAGCGAGACAGTTGTTAAGTGAGTTTTTCCCCATTTTACGACCTTTCTTGCTACCGTTGTGAAGTGGAGCCGATGCCGTTGTTAAGTGAGTAACACGGTCGTTAAGTGAATCTGGCTTCCCCATTGTCTTTGCTTGTCAGAAGGTTGCCAAAGGGGAATCGCAGGACCCTAGGACACCGCAGTCGTCATAACTGTGAGTCAGTTGCCAAGTTTCTGAATTTTGATCTTGTGACCATGGAGAGAATGCAAGGGTCGTTAAGTGTGAAAAACGGGCCTACCGGTAAGTCACATTTTTTTTTTACTGCCGTTGTAACTTCGAGGGTCACTAAATGAATGGATGTAAGTCAAGGACCACCAGTACAGTTTCAACAATAAAATGAAGCCCTAAAACAGAAGTTTGGATTGCGGAAAAAAGCGCCACAATTTACTCTTCACCAGAATTAATACAGAATTTACACAGGGGTGAAATCCAGCAGGTTCTGACAGGTTCTGGAGAACCGGTAGCGGAAATTTTGAGCAGTTTGGAAAACTGGCAAATACCACCTCTGGCTGGCCCCAAAGTAGGGTGGGAATAGAGATTTTGTAATATCCTTCCCCCAGGAGTGGGGTGGGAATGGAGATTTTGCAGTATCCTTCCCCCTGGAGTGGGATGGGAATGGAGATTCTGCAGTATCCTTCCCCCTGGAGTGGGATGGGAATGGGGATTTTGTAGTATCCTTCCCCTGGAGCGGGGTGGGAATGGAGATTTTGCAATATCCTTCCCCCAGGAGTGAGGTTGGAATGGGGATTTTGCAGTATCCTTCCCCCAGGAGTGGGGAGGGAATGGAGATTTTGCAGTATCCTTCCCCCAGGAGTGGGGTGGGAATGGAGATTTTGCAGTATTCTTCCCCTGCCATGCCCACCAAGCCACACCCACAGAACTGGTAGTAAAAAAAAAAATTGGATTTCACCACCGGAATTACAGAATGAATGTACAGAATTAATTTGTGCTCCAACCATTAAAATCAGTAGGGCTGAAATAGACTAACTAAACCAGAAATGTAGGATTTCTGGCCTGTATCACTTTCACATGTTTTCACGCGCCTGGTAATTCCGTTCCTTTCCCTATCTGCCGTAAATCTGCCATTTCTATCTTTAAATACACAAATGTTTATTTGTTCTCCAAACATACATTTAAGGCATACAGGGTGATTTGCTTAACGTGCCAAGAACTGCTTCAAACCATTTGGCAAAGTTTGAAACCCAGTAAACTTTCCTCCTTCCGCCATCTCAGAATGCCGGTCGCCTCCGTTCAGATAGAAATCTCGCAAGCAATTTTATGGAAAATTGTTCGGTTGTGGTTAAGTGCTTTTTTTCTTCCCCTATTAATATCTGTTCAGGCTTTTTTAAAAAGAGTTTGTTGGAAGTTATTGCCACGGAAGTTATTGCCACGGGGAAAAAAAGGTGCATATTTTGCAAATATTGTCTTTTGGGGAAACAAGACGTAATAAAATAACTGTCCGTTTCAAATAATTACAAGCATAACACAGAGTTTGGGGTCACCTTCGCTCCCTTAAAGCAAACAGGATTTAATAAAAATGTAGAAAAGGCGAGGGAAAGAGACCTTTTCTTTCCTTCATGCCAATTTAAAATAAAAAGAAAGGGAAAGGAGAAAAAAGGGGGGAGGGAGGAAGGGAGATAAATGGAGAGAGAAAAGGAAGAAGGAGGGAGGAACGGAGGAGATAGGGAAGAAGGAAGAAAAAGAAGGAAGGAAGGAAGGCGGGAGGGAGGAAGGAAGGAAGGAAGATGGATAGAGGGAAGGAAGGAAGTTGGAGGGAGGGAGAGAGGGAGGGAGGGAGGAAGGAAGGAAGATGGATAGAGGGAGGGAAGGAAAATGGAGGGAGGGAGAAAGAAAGGAAGGAAGATGGAGGGAGGGAGAGAAGGAAGAAAGAGGGAAGAAGGAAGGAAGATGGATAGAGGGAAGGAAGGAAGATTGATAGAGGGAAGGAAAATGGAGGGAGGAAGGGAGGAAGGTGGATAGAGGAAAGGAAGATGGAGGGAGGAGGAAGGAAGGAAGATGGAGGAAGGGAGGGAAGGAAGGAAGAGGGAGGAAGGAAGAGGGATAGAGGGAGGGAAGGAAGAGGGAGGGAGGGAGGGAAGGAAGGAAGATGGATAGAGGGAAGGAAGAGGGATAGTGGGAGGGAGGGAGGGAGGGAGGGAGGGAGGAAGGAAGGAAGGAAAGAAGGAAGGCAGATGGATAGAGGGAAGGAAGAAAGATGGAGGGAGGGAGGGAGGGAGGGGGAGAGGAAGGAAGGAAGGAAGAGAAAAAGGAAAGTCATGTTTTAGAAATGACTTCCAAGACAGAATCTCTACTCCATGAATCTAATCCAAAGAAAAACTGGGGATTTGCATTTACAAAATGAGAGCCTCAAGCGGACTCTCCAAACCAGAAAACCTTAAACGTTTTTGCCAAGGCTGAACAGAAAAAAAACTGAACGGGGCAGAAAAAGAACAAACCCGTCTCTATTCAAGCTGCTGTGTAACCGATAGGGAAGATCCGAGACTGAGAAGACGGAGGAACAACGGACGGTGGCCATTTTATGCTCATTGCTGACTCCTGCCCTAAAGTACTGCTCTCCAGCCCCACCCCCGGAGGGGGGGGGTTGAGTAGTGAGGGGGGGGACACGCAAAACTATACTAAAAAAATTTCCAGGGTGCTTTTAATCTATAATTTGGCTCTAACAACCTTGTCTTTGTTTGTTTAAAAGCAGGAGTGTCAAACTCAAGGCCCGCGAGGCCGCACCTGGCTCGCGGGGTGCTTAGATCTGGCCCGCGAGGCCGCCCTGGAAACAGCGAAGGACCGGCCCGTGTGCCTCTGCCAGTGAAAACAGAGCTCGGGAGGGCCGCGTGTGGTGCCCCCCCCAGATCCGTTTTCGCTGGCAGAGGGCTGCAGGAGGCCATCCCGACTGAAACGGGACCATGCCCCCCCGGCCACGCCCACCCGACCCCCCAAGGTCAAACACAACCCTGATGCGGCCCTCAATGAAATTGAGTTTGACACCCCTGGTTGGGAGGATGTATTATGGCCGCCTATTCATGCTCAATGACTCAGGTGGGTGGGGGGTGGCAGTGGTTTACAAACAATAAAATCCCAATATAAATGAATAAAAACAATAACCCCCTACTAGGGGTGAAATCCACTTACTTTCGCTACCGGTTCACAAATGAGTACGCACTCGCTCTCGCGCGACACCTCTATGTATGCGCAGGATCTTCTACACATGTGCAGACCGTCAAAAACAGAACGTGATGACGTCCGGGTGGGTGGGCGGAGCCTCCCGCTGCCGGCGCTACTGGTTCGCCCGAGCCAGATAGAACCAGCTGCATTTCACCACTGCCCCCTACCCTCCTGGCGACAACAAGCAATCAATTGTTGCTTTGCTCTGCTTCGATGATGCCAACATCCCTGCCCTGGGATGACATTGATGGCATGGCAGTCCAGGCTCTTCCTCTTCTTATTCCCCACCCACCCACCCATGTCCCTGATCTCCCTCTTCGACGTCCCATCATCCCCTTGATTGACTGTCAGGTGCCGAAAGACCAGGCCCACATGTGAAGGTCCAATTAAACTCATTTATTGCTCAAACAGCCTCTGTGCAGGAATCTTCTCAACTAAGAGTTAGTGCCGGCTTGGAGTTACCCTGTTTCCCCGAAAATAAGACATCCCCTGATAATAAGCCCAATTGGGCTTTTGAGCACATGCGCTAAAATAAGCCCCCCCAAAAATAAGCCCTCCCCGAAAATATTTAGATGCATGTGCAGCCAGTCCCCGACATTTCCTATGATTAGGGTTAGGGAGACAGAGCTGGAAGTCAGGTAAAACTGTAAGAGGAGCCCCGTTTTGCTCCACGTGCCCCAAAATAATAAGACCTACCCAAAACTAAAGCCAAGCACTTATTTCGGGGTTCAAAAAAATATAAGACAGAGTTTTATTTTCGGGAAATAGAATAGAATAGAATAGAACAGAACAGAATAGAATAGAATAGAAAAGAAAAGAAAAGAAACACAGTAGATAAAGGTCCACGTTCAAGAAAATTTGGATTTAGTCCGTTTATGGCTACGTTGTCAACATCCAGCTCGAGAATCCAAATAAAACCCCAGATTCATTCCGTTTCTGAAAATCTTACTGTTTATTGAATGCACTGCATGGTAATGTCGAAGCAAAACTAACTCCGAGGTTTCCAGATGCCGGCTCATAGAATTAAACAATAATTTCCCCCAACCTCTCATGTAGTCCATGTAAACAAGTTCACTTTGTTACGGGAATCATCTGCTTCCACTCCACACCTGTTACGGTGTCCTTGAAAAGGTTTCAGGCGCCCATGGTCTTCAGCAGAATCGTGGAGGTTTCGTTTTCCCATCTAACCCAGATGTCAAAGTCGTGGCCCACAGGCCGAATGCATCATACACTGGCCACACCCACACCCGGTTTAGCAAAGGGAGAAAAAGTCATGGTACGTCACGTGATGATGCCATGAAGATGTGAGTTTGACACCCCTGATCTAACCCATTCTAAAGCAACACCTCCCCCCCGCACCTTTACTCTAATGGCAAGTTGAAACGAAGAGGCACGTAGCTGCCAAAATTTCATTCTTGTCATACGTAGCGATTCTAGGTTGATTTCTCTTTTGACTCTGCCCCAGTTCTGCCCCTTCTCCTGCATTGACCTCTGATCCACCCCCGTTGCATCAGAGCTCCTCATTCTACAATCTAAAATCCATGAATTTATTATTAACTGAAGTGCATTTGGTGCTTTTCTTTCTTTCTTATCGTCCTTTTTTTGACCACAGAATAATAGCGTTGGAAAGGACCTTGGAGGTCTTCTAGTCCAGCCCCCCGCCCAAGCAG